CTTTTCATAGTGTTGTGGTGGTTATATGGCATGAAGTCGAAAACATAGATTTGCTTTAAACTTCGTTTAGGGTGGTCCTTTAGTGCGCTGAACATGAATATCATGCTGATTTCGCAGGATAGTGCAATTTCTTTGCTTACAGTGGGTGTAGATGGGTCGAAGTTCCAGATTTGCTCAAAACCTTACCTGTAACGGTTTACAAGTATATCGCTTATGAATATGATACTGCTCGCTGTCATAACGCAATAGTGAAGTTGGTGAGTTGCAGGGTTTCAATGGACATTTTTTCGCTTTCGGGCCAATTTAGATCCCAGATATTCAAGAGACGGGGAAACGGTCGTTTTGCATGTCGATCTCCAGCGCCATCTTGATAACCTGTCCCAACGCGTAACGCACGCGGCAACTTTTCCTCCCCTGTTTTTGCTTAGGCAAAAGCCGCCAAAGTGTGTAATAACGCGCGCAGCAGTGGTCCTATAAGGAAACTGATAACCTGTCCCAATGTGTAATGCAAGCAGCAAATTTCCCCTCCCCTGTTCTTGCTTAAGCAAAAGCCGCCGAAGGGTGTATCGCGCGCAGCAGTGGTCCTGTAAAGAAACTGATAACCTGTCCCAATGTGTAACGCAGGCGGCAAATCTCCATTTCCTGTTTTTGCTTACGCAAAAGCCGCCGAAGGGTGTATCGCGCGCAGCAGTGGTCCTATAAGGGAAAGCACTACGGTCGTGGAAAACTTTTATATCACACGAATTTCCTTTGTCGTGGGGATTGAGCACGATATTTCAGCACTTTAGGTAATTTTCTGTCAAGGTTTCAGGCAGGTTCATGATCTTTACCCGCTGCCATGTACCTACCGTAACTCTGCGAAAAGGTTTAACGCAACGAGAGTGTTTTAGAGTGGTCAGAAGGTCGAATCTCTCTAGACCGAGTTTCAGCCAAAACTGAGATTTCGCCCCTCTGCAGTATACCTACCATAACTCAGTGAAATCGCCTTAAAATGCCGAAGGAAAATGATTTTCGTAATCAGCATGTCAATTAGCCCCTCCCCTCAAAGTTTCAGTGACTAAACTAAACCCAGAAAATGGCGCTATATCGCGCGAAATGACTACGATATTCGTTATCAGCGGCTTTGATAATCCCCATGTACCGACTTTGAGCAAGATCCATCACAAAAACATTTTGGGGCCGGATAGCCGAATAGTCTCATCAGTTTTCAAAATTATCCTTACTTTTACCGGTTTTATTGCTTTTTTGCCAAGTTTGAGCTACGAAGCTGGGGGTTGTTGAGGGAGTAGGTGGTAGTCTACGACACTCGCCCCGCCCCGGAGTGTATTTGTGCAAAGTTTGGCCGGATCAGATCTATTGTCCTGAACATGCTTACAGACACACATACAGATCTCATGCAAACGAACAGACATTCAGCTTCATGTATAAGGAAGGAAATGCAGCTCACAGCACAATATGTACAGCTCAACAGCTCAGCTGTTCGTCCTGCCATGTGATACAGAAGACAAATTTCAAATGATTACGTATTTATGCCCAGTTGTGTTCTCTTCTTTAAGGAAATTGATTGTGAGGCCTCTCCGTGCTTCTGCCTCCATCGGTTCAATGGAGATAACCAGAGTAAACTCAGTCATGGCAAGAAAGACAAACTATTTTTCCCTCCCCCCCCCCCCACAGTTTTCCTACAAGGCCTCCCTTTCCCAAATCAATATTCCCTCTTCCTCTCGTTTGTAGTCCATCCTCGAAATTTGTCTTCCTTGGGCAAAAACATAACTTCCAACCGCCTGGACCATCCTCTCCCAATTTTGCAAACCGCTCAAAGGCACAGTCTACCCCAAGTCAGGGATCTTGAGCTTTTGGCAGTATAGTTAGTAGAACTCTCTGTCGAACAAATGCCTAAGTCGCGGCGTAAAATGTCGTTTCGGAATGGAGAATAGTCATGAGGACCCCAAGTCGGCAGCCTCCCCCCCCCTCAATAATGCCCACTCGTGCTCGCCCAGCCAATCATCGTTCGAAACCGCCCCTGGGGTTTTTCGGAAGGGAGATCGTTGTGGTTTTCGCTATACTCGACTTCACTTTTGGAATCAAGGACATGGGAAAACCCCGGTACGACAAAAATATGGGAGTCGTCTGGGTAGACAGTGCCGTTGAGCTATCCCTCCCCACAACCTCACATAAGTCTCGTTGGTCCCCGTGAAATTTAGGTTGTCCAGATGCCTCGCATCGAGAGTCGCATCATTCTGACCCCTTGTAACTGCTAAGGTTTGCATGTATCTGTAGAGATGTGATGGCGAGTAATAAGTATTTATCTCTATAATAAATGCAAAAACCAAGCATGTCACAGCGAAAAGCAGCTTATGACCTTGAATAGGGTTGATGGTGCGATTTTGTAGAAGAACGACGGCGGCGGCGTGGGGCTGCGCAATTTCGCATACTTTTTATGTCTTCATATCCATTGCATGCACATAAAATCATGCAAATAACTTTCTTTTATGAATTTTCACAATAATCTCAAGAGAATAGATTTTATACGAAATGAATTAACTCTGCACGAATTTTTTTCCTCGGGATTATGGCTGCGGTTACGTTTGAAGTGTGAAAAGTGTCTCAAATTAAATTAATTCGGAAATCGCATTCGTTTTGCTCTTGCACCAAAAGTATTTATCACTGTTTGATTTTTAGAATCCCTCTTCTTACGGAGTCTTTTGCCGACTCTCAGGTACCGCTGTGTAGAGCGGGCATCAACCTAGGTCTGTAATGTAAACAATCATCTGAATACATTACATTACTGTGGAATTACTGTAAAGACATCCTACTAAACCGAAAAAAACCGAAACAAACCAGAAAATCTGGAAATTTGTGTCGCAGTGTTCTACGCATGCTGGTAACACTACACAATTCTTCAGCTTCTAATCCTTTTACAACGCGCAATTACTTTTTAACATTGAAAAAATCGTTGATACTGTGTACATAGCAAGCATACTTATAAAAGAGCATTATTTTATAGTGCAAATTCCTTCTTCAAAACCAGCAACACCAACTAGATGTGAAACTAAATTGTTCGGCTCCTTTTTGAGGCAGAATATGAATTCCAATAACTTGAAACCCATCCCAAAGTCCCTACCATACTCCTTCTTAACGAAGTTTTTTCGTAGCCCTCTGTTCACTGATATATGAATACGATGATTGGAAAGAAGAAGCGGCCAGCAAAGTCCCATCGTCACCTTTCTGCGTACTGGCTGGCAACGGGGATGAACCCCGGCAAGAGGGCACTGTCGCGTCAGGCAGAGCGACGCGCTGGGGACTTTACGAATCAGTCGTGTCACATGCATCGGACTATCAAGGATTTTCGTCAAGCTGCTAGGGCGTCCCCCGGAGGCGACGCGCGTCGTTGCCCGCCTGGCGCGAATAGTGAGCTAGGGCTACCTGCCGCCGGACGAGGCAGGCCAAAAAGCGAGTCCAGGAAATCCGACTAGCGACGATTAATATGGGAACGCTGACGAGCCGCAGCCGGGAACTATGCGATAGACTGAGGGAGCGACACATCACATCGCACGTGTACAAAAAACGAAATGGAAGAGGAGGCAGGCTAAGGACATCGGCGAGGGATATCGCTTATTACACGGGAGACAGCAGCCGCCAGAACGGAGTCGCGATCATCGTCAACGGTAGATACCGCGAACTAGTGACCGAAGTGACGCGCATTTCAGACAGATTGATGGCGAAGAGGACGAAGCAGACGATGCCACGCTTCGAATAATCTCGTGTTATGCCCCGCAATCCGCATATACCAAAGCCGAGAAGGTGTTTTGGAGGGACTTCGACATCCTACTAAGGACATTCGACGCGGCAGACTACATCTTCGTAAGAGGCGATCTTAACGGGCACGTTGGCCACGCACACGATGGATTCAAGCGATACCATGGTGGAAATGGATACGGCCAGAGGAATGAGGATGGAGAACGCATCCTGAAAGCCGCAGAAGCACACGATCTGGCTCTAGCGAACACACGTATGCGAGTGGAGACCGCTCAACTCAGATCGACTACTGGATGCTGCGCCGATGCCACTTGCCGATGGCGATGAACGCAAAGGTTATACCCTCGGCGACACATGCATTTGCGCCACAACACCGGTTGCTCGTATAGGATCTTGCATGAACAATTGAATGAACATCCACTTGCATTCCCGAGCCAGAAGAACGACCACAAAGAGAATGAAATGGTGGAAGCTTCCCGAACATCGCCAGCAAGTCAGAGATGCTTTTAACGATCTGAGGGTGTCGATGGATGATAAGGAATCGATTGAAGAACAGTGGAGTCGGATTACTTTGCAGATACGATCAAGGACCGAGGAGATCTTGGGAACCGCCAAGCCAGACGCCGGTTTGCAGACAAACAGATCTGGTGGTGTCCAACAAGTGATTAAGGAGAAGAAAGGAGCCTCAAAGCTTGGCAGCACTCACACTCAAATGAGGACCTCCGTCGATATCGAGAACTGAACTCGAAAGCGAAGCATGCGGCAGCCGAAGCAAAGGAAGCATACTACAAGAGACTTTACGGCGATGGTAAGATGGTAAATGAAACCTCGTCGCTCTCGATCTAGCTAAGGAACTACAGAATTTTTTACCCAACGGTGTTTCTGGAGCGAAATGCATGTGGAAGCATTTTCCAGTCAAAAAAGCAGATGAGCGGTTCTTATGGAGGTATGAGACAGCTTAGCTATAGCCGTTTGATACTTTTGAATGTGGAACTGCCTGAAAAATTAGCTGGGAAGCTAGGAAGTGCTCCAAACAGCAAAAACTCCAGGTGGACCCATAATTTATGGCATGAGTCAAGGCATTTTTTAGAATGGACCTATAATTTTAGCCCCTGAACTGGGCTTGGAATGACGTGGTGATTTTTTGTTACTGTTGTGTTTTTGTGTGACTAACACTTTGACCTTATGATTTGGAACCCTCGAGCGTATAAATGAAAGAATGAATATTGATTAGGCAATTCTCTGCCAACAAAAATCCTTTAAAATGCTGAAAGTTTATTGTCCATCAAACGACAGTTTAAATAATAACTGCGTCAACATTTTTGGTTTCAATATTGCATTCGTTGGTTCCTCGGCGTATCTTGAAGAGGCCTAAAGTAGTAATTAGTTTCCTTGAAAATAATGTTTCGGTAAGAGTTCGCAAAGGCCCAAACAAACTTACCGCCTTCTCCCCAGGCAGTGCTCCAGGAGTTCGCAACGAGCCAGTATTTCACACCATTCTCTACACCCCATCCTATGAGTCTGATAGCGTGACCTCCTTCCCATTTTCCAAATGTGTGCTAAACTCAATGATTCAAAGAAATTCTAAAAGCTTTTACTTGCAGCACAAAATCATCATGTTTCCCTAAAGAGGAGTATGTTTTAATGCTGCTATTTACTTGTGTAATTTAAAAATCGTTGATTACTTCCTTAGGTTTTTGTAAATCTTTCTTCTATAAACTGCTTTTGAACAGGAGAATTTGCTCTCGCAACACAAAGAGTACACCTCCTTCAATTATCTTCACGTTACATATTTCGAAATTTTTGAGCCGAGAAGCCCGTTAACGATTATGTTTTTACATTACGCAGTTGATAGACTCTAACAATGCATTCAACAAAGCTTTTCTAATGACAGCTTTACTTATCGCGCAAGCCTATCGATATAATTCAGAAAGCTCCATTTACACAAACACAGGGGAATGCTTCCATGCTTATAAAGGTTGATTGACCTTACTAGCAAACGCTTTAAAGAAAATTTGGGTGATTTCTTTTATGGTAGATTGCGTATGTGATAGGTGCAAACTGCTCTGCCATAGGTGATGAATATACTAACAAGGAAAAACCCTCAGTCGAAGTGGGGTTTCCACATGTGATGCGTAAGATCCTGCTGGTCTTGGGGCACTAATACCAGATCCGTGTTCCTTAGCTGCTCAATGATCTCCAGGGAAAAGTTACGAGGGACGGTTCCCACAATTACCGCTAAACCTTATAAACCTCGGGCGCCATGAAATGTACAGATGTGGACGGATAGATGGGTCGATTTGTGGAGATTAAGGCGCAGGTGATGAAGGGTTGGCGTTCGCTATAGAGCCAAACTTTGAATTTTTGTAAATTTCAATTTACGGAATAGTAAGCGATTTTCAACGAGGATTTGTTCGTCGGAAATCGCCCGCAAATTCACAGAATACAGTTTGCAAAAATGCAAAGCTTGGCTCTATAGGGAATGTGACCTCTTCATCACCTGCGCCATAGACCGCGCAGCTATCTGCCCGCCCATCCGTCCTCACCTGTACCTTCCTTGGCGCCTCGGACTCATAAAGTGCAGTGGTCATCGTGGGAAACCCTAGCTCATAACTTTTCCCAAAAGGTCATTGAGCAGCCAAGGAACACGGATTTGTAGTGCACGTGTAAAAATCCACTTCGACTGAGGGTCCTTCTCTTGTAAGAAAGGTTCAAATTTAGCATAGCTTTATAGTGAGTACTCACTACGTATACTCCACTCTTGTAATACTGGAAATCGCTGTAAACGTCGAACCCTGCTGTAACGGGTCCATTCGTGAAGATTTCCTTTCGAATCGCATCTTCGTTCGCAATGATCGAATATGCGGAACTTGCTATGCAACACAACAGAATTACTTTTAATGCTGTATGCCGAGACTGTAGTGCCAATTACCGTAAATCTTGTCGCTGTAATAATCCATGTTATATCCAAACTGACATTGCGCACGACAAACTGGCGTTTGTTTGTCTTGACTATCTGGAGCGAACGGGTATGGTTTGCAGCAATTCTGAAGAATATCGAGCAATTATTCTAAACCTTTGAGGGCATCACATACCTTTGCATTGTATGCACCACCAGTACATACTCCATAGTTCACTCCATACTGATAGGCTCTGAGGGCCCACCCTCCATTACATCTGTAAATTATCCATAAGCGCTTTTACTTCAATAGAAAGACTGGATTGGAATCAAGGTGTGAATATAAAAAGCTGCTGGACTTATGTTTTTCTGCTGTATTAATTCCTCTCGAAAATATCTCAGTGCTTTCCTCAAAGACAAGTATTTTCTTGACAATAAGTAGTTTGAGAAAATTAGTTCAATCTGAAGGACTACGCTAAGTGCAATTGTAGTAAACGTAAGAAAGTTTGGGTTTTAGGCCAAATTTTTTAAATATAATCAATATCGGAGTGCATTGCACAGTAATACTCTGAGGTAATAATAAGTAGTCGCGATGCAATATATTATAGAAACGTCAAACGTTGCGCATTTATACAAACAAAAAAGTTTCGAGAAAAAAGATAAGGCTGATTTTTTATGATTATGCTGCAAAGGCGGTTCTCTCTGAACGGGAAAAGGATATGGTGAACGTGGCCTTTCGTAGTGTGACATATGTCATGATATCCGCCTTAAAACGCTGATCTTAAGACTGTGTTCATTATCTGCGGAAGGATTGTTCGGAACTGTATTTCTTCGCGTCTGACTTGTTTGCAATAGAATAGATATGATGTTAATAGAGGCTAGAAAGTCGAATGTTCTGACGGTTAGCATTTTGTTATTGCATAATGGATGTCAGTTTGATCTCTGTCGGCGCGAATTTTGCTTTCGCTTCCCCAAGCGCTACTTTTTCACAGGCGAGCGTTCGAGTTTTTTTTTGAATCGAATTTTTCGAGCATAGCGCTGTGGTGAGGATATGAAAGTTTGTTAATCTTAGGATGAATCAGTAAAAAAGATTGCAAAACATGGTTTTTTAGCAACGAGAATTGAGCCTCGTATAATCCTAATAAAAAATTCAGTTTTTCTCATGTGTTATACTGCGAAAGTAAAAATCTTCGTTTGCTGACAAGCAGGTCATTGACAAAGCGGAGCAAAAATGCCAAGGAAAATTACTAACGAGTCACTAAATACACTTTACTAAAGTAAGATTCGAGAAACCCGAAAGTACATAATAATATTAGTTTGGTGCAAAAGTTCTTTTCCACCAAATTCAAAAATTCGTAACTTGCTGAATTCTCAACGAATTTGCAAGATCTAAATTTTATGTAAGAGCCAAACTCATGCTCTTTGCAAATCTACTTGAACTGTTCGTTAATGTGTACAAATGAAGGAGATAGAAGTTGAAGACCAAAATTACTCAAAATTTGGGTTTTTCGTGTAGGGTCATAAAAAATCGGAAACTTGGATAAGAATTGGAGTAGTCACTATTGTAGGCTCATTCACACGCTCTTTATAACAGTTTAAAGCTTGTGCCGATTGAGCGTCTCTGTGAAAGGTTATGAATTTCTTGAAAATGCTAAATCAAATTCGCCATTTTGTATTGCTTGCTCAAAAATCATAACTTTTTATAGACACACTCAATCAGCACAAACTTTGCACTTAGGAAGAGCTGATGAAGGAACCTACAATACCGACTGCATTGCAAGTTTCCGATTCGTTATGACGCAATACGAAAAATTCAAATTTTGAGTGATTCTGGCTTTTAGCTTCAATCTGCTTTATCTGTTCTCGATAGCGAACCCTTCAAGTACTCATGCAAAGAGCATGAGTTCTTCTCTTATGCAAGTTTAGACCTTGCAGATTCAATGAGTATTCAACAATTTATGAATTTTTGAATTTGGTGCGAAAGAACTTTTGCACCAACCTAATAGTTTCAATAAGGAAGCACTTCAGGTACTAATTTGTGTTTCCAGTTGGAGTTGGAGAACTTCTGAAAGCACCTCATGCTTTCACTTTGTAAAAACAAGCTATCTACTCATGCACTCGTTGTTGATCATTACAGACCATGCAGGTCTGTTGAAATTTAGTATTGGTATATACACTTGTCTTTGTTAATCGAGCATGTAAAGACTGCTTCCTACAAGCAAACTTGAGATTGAGTGCTTTCAATGTCTCAAACGTTCCGCTGTTCGATAAACAACCATTGAAACACTAGACATACCCATAACCACAAAATCCACCACAACATGCAAGAATATCTGTGTCTGAGATTATCCTCTGCAAAAAAGGTGATTTCTGTCTTATATTTTCATAAATCGACTTTGTCAAACCTGATCTTGTCCCATGGTTCGTATGCACAATCTATCAGACATGACTGAAGCTGAAGATACAGCCCAACAAGATCCTGAAGTATGTGTTTATACCACCATAGCTATCATTTCGAGTTCAATTTACCGCAAGCTGCTTGCATTCTGATAGTCTTTATAGAAACGCACTGGGGCCACTTTTCTCGAGCATCGAAACTGTAACGCATGTCATGAAATGTTCTGTTCTGTATTCTACATAAACTCTGAAAGGGGACAACATACCTTTCTGGAAGATACTCATTCATAACAATCTCCTTTGCTGTTACAGTTCCCTCAAGTTTTTTCGAAAATTCACGATCCATCAGGTAAGACTTGAACTTTTCGTACGACATCGTTGGAACTTCTGCCTGAAAAAACATTGTGTCATTACGGCGTGAGCAGATCATATGTAGCTAAATTTGTTGTTTATATGGTTACCTTGAAAAAATGTTGATTTGTGTTGAGATAATCAACGAGTTCTTGATCCGACATGCGGTTGGCATCTGTGACACATGTAACTTTTTCTGCTGTTTTGTTAAAGTTAAATTGCAGCTATTACACATAAGCTTTCAGCTCCAATGACCTCGAATGTCTTGTACAAATCTAAAGTGTTTAAAAAGCTGTTACGCACTCACCTACAGACATGCCTGAAGCCGGTATAAAGAATACGGTTAGCAAAAATAGCATTTTGGCCATCTGGAAGCAAATATTTAACATCAAAAAATGTTTTCAGCGAGACTTTTTGATAAAAGTCAGTACAAACTTACTTGTTAGAGTATGGATGGACAGAACCACAACTGTCCACACTACTTCTTGGTATTTATGCACTTCCTTAACTTTTTTACGACTTAAATCTTGCGATAAAGAGATTAGAGATGAAAGTGATATGGGCGTTTACCAAAAACGAGTCAGAGAATTGCTTCCAATTGCTTGAAAACAAGTTCCTTCAAAGTCGTATCATTGTTTTGAAGAAAAGGGTGGGAAATGTGTGATTTTACGTCAAAATCCGAGAAATTTGAGGAATGAATGAATGATAGGTGAGAGTTGCATCATACTGTAGGCAACTACAGTATGATGCAACTACTACAGTAATATAACTACAGTAATATGCAACTTACTATAGTAATATAAGTCCTCACCATTAAGGTCAAGCTTTTATTTGCGCCTGCGAATTGCTCCTTTCCGTAAAGACAGATTGGCAGCATGTTGCTGATTGAGATGAAACATGTTTCAATCGCCGCGCTAACACCAAATCGTACATATTCTTCAGAAGTGCAAAACATTTCTAAAATCGTCCCCCATATAGGCTGCGTTCACACTGAGTTTAAATGCTGTGCTGGAACTGCTTCCAAACATGCAGACCACGCAGCCGCATCTTCCCCAATCAGCGTCACTTTTTCAATTTCTCATACCAATAAAATAACTACTTTCAATGTTTTTAGCTTGGGATTATGTTTCAATAGTCGTCGAAGAGGTCCAAATCAGGAAACAACCTATTTAGAGGTCGAGCCCCATTTTGTTGAGCCTTGATGTACATTTAAAATATCCTCCCTTTCTCCTGCAATTACCTAGTGTATTTTCATTTTTTCAACTTCTTTGTAACTTTCTTGCGAAAAACACTGAGCGAATTTTGGAGTCTTAGTGACCTTTACACCAATCCACGGCAAAGCTGACGGGAAATGAGGGGTGCTTAGCTTTTATCGCAGAAGCTTATTCGTTATCATTGTTTCAAGGGCGTTGCCAGTGGATGGCAAAATCATGCCATTACATAAGACGATTGAGATATCCTATCTAGTTACTGTAAGACAAACAAATGTTTTTGATTACCAGAGATAAGCCCTAGCTTAATCTTTCCGTTTGACATCTTCAAATTCTTTAACTAAGCTGTTTTGTTTTGTGAATGTTTGCATGCAATTGCTCTCCACCTATGACTCAGCGGAGAAGATAAAATAGCTCAGCAGTTATATGTATAGCTAAAGTCAAGCACTTAGAGATTGTGCATGGTTTTACATTCCGGTGTGTGCATATCTTTTCACTGTATCTCCTATCTTCGAGGTGAGGAGTTCAGAGTTTGGGCCAATTTGATGACGGCTTCTCACTTCTGAAGAATTAGGCAAAAATTTCCAGCATTGTCAATGTTGCACTGCTGTCTAAAAAGCTTTGAGGATACCACAAAACTCTGATAGTAGTTTATTCACATACGCTGATTCTGTTAATCGATTTTATACATGCTTGCTTGTCATACAATGTAACCGAACGATTATATTACACACCCCATGACTTTCGTTTGATGACAGCGTCTTACCACAATTTGGCCCTCGTTATTTTTGCGAACTGCAAGCACTCCCGACCTTGTAAGCCTATGGGGCATATTTCCGGGTAAAATCCCAGCAATCCATTTTCCGAAGTCTTTGCACAAGAAGCGCGACCAATGTCCGGCTCTACCTTAGCTTCCGCTACAAGGTTGAGCACGTCAAAAAGGATGGTATCGTCTGGGAAGATGTGCTGAAACGCAGCAGGGGAATCGAAAATTCGTCCATTGCGCGCGAGCAGTGCGCTCCGCGCGCCGTCTTAAGCCCAATTTTCTCAACAGGAGAGGACTTATCAAGTGGGAGTTGGGCATTGGCATAGTAAGGAGGTGCCGTAATGAAATTAGTAAAAATCCAGTACACTCCAAAAATCTGATGGAATAATGTTTGAGACTTTATGATAGAGCGAGAGTACTTCAATGACATTAGCAGCTGTGTGATTAAATAAAGTTTTAATTTTTGAATTGGTAAAGCATGTTTTCTTCCTTGAATATACTAATTTCTGTTCTTTTATTCTACGTTGTAGCTGTCCATCAAGTAGGGGTACCCTGAACAACAAAGGACAATGTAGCAGTAGTGATCAAATGGGACTGGCTGGTATACACACCGCTGTACCAAATCTTAACATTTCGTTGACAACAGAGTGAGTTATGGCATTTTTTAGAGTGGACCTATATTTGTCCAGCACTGTATAATAATCGATAAAGTGAATAAATCCGTTATTGAGAGTAAAAGAGATCCAGATAAAAGTTGATCACGTATTATTATAGTTACGTATTTAAAAAAAAAATGTGCTCCTTACATCTACTAAACAGCGTAGAGTAATGGAGGTTATCGCAATTAAAATTTCAAAACACTTCTTCCAACGTGTTCACGAGTCAAAAGCCTTCCCTCGTAGGTTAGACACGACAAAAAATCTTTCTATTGAACAGTGGAAATGCAAACATAAGTAACATCCAGTAAAATTACTTTATTTCCATAAAATCATAAAATTGTAAAGCAAAGTTTCCAGCATTAGCAAAATGAAGGAAGAACGTACAAGAAAATAAGAAGAATCGGATTTTGCCGATTTTCGGGGAGTCTGAGATGCGGGAAGACGACGAATCACCAGCTTTTTAGCAATACAACTAAAGGCAGAGTTTAAAGAAGAAGCACTTCAGCTTTGGGAATTTTGATCAAATCACATGAAAACTAAAATTCCGTGCGAGTCTAAGACCTTCTTTGTTTAACTTGACCAGTTGGATGTCTCTATATAAGGTGCTATCGTTTTTGAGACAAAAATACATGCCTAACTCTAAACTTTTCATCGCCAAAAATTTAAGCCTAGTCTCGTAATTGGGCATTTCAATATAATTGAACTTCCGTCGTCACCTCATATATAGTATTCGAGTGAGCGTTTGTTGAACTTTCTCCAAATCACGTATTTTCTTTCTTGAAAAAGGACTTTACACAACAGAACATCTAAGTGAGGTAAAAGTAGGCATTATAAAGTCGTTTAAGAATCAAGGGATTATCGGTATGTACACTGCGGTAAATAGCCAATAATTCTGAAAATGCTTTGTTGACTGCATAATCAATATAATTGGCAAAATTCAACTCAGAATCTACGAGTACACCCAAATCCATGGCATTAGAGCAGTTCTTCAACCTGATTCCGTCTATCTCATAAACTGGGAAGTCATCATCTCCAAAATGCATTACAAAGCTTTTTTCTAAGTTTACAGTTATTCCAGAGGAAGGGGACCTTTATTATACTTATCAAAACTTCCGTAAATCTTTATATCGTCAAGATGGACGTAAGTTCAGCAGCGTATAGTACAAAGAGTAATGGAAAAAGGACTGCTCCCTGCGGAGCACCACTTGTACAAAGTCGCCGTTCAGAAAAATGGTGTTCAGCTTAGACCGTCATGCCTGTGCTATGTAAGTACAATTTCAACCAGTTCAGAAGGTTTCCTCTCAAACCAGTTTATCTAGTCTGTACAGAAGCTTTCCATGATGAACCCAATCAAACGCCTTGGAAAGATCAACGTAAACCACATCAACAGAAATACCACTATTGAGTGCCTAATTCCACTCAAAAACAGAGTTCGCAAGACTAGTGGTAGTGGATGATCCTTCCATATAACCATGTTGATCGATAGGGGATCACGTTAAGCCTTTCAAGCCACGATCAGTCTAGTACGCAGGACTTTCTCCATCAACGGCCGTAGAAATCAAACTAATGGGCCATCTGAAAGCAGACGTAAATTAGAGACTTAAGAGTCACTGTAAGCAATGCCTCCTTCCAAATCTGCACTTCACCGAGCATCATTGATATGTTAGAGATATGGGTAAGAGGTTCACAAAGAAATGAAGCACATTTTTTGAAAACAATCTGTGGAATCCCATCAAACGATTCTCTAAGAAATGGTTCAATTTGGTCAAAATTTTGTGGGCCTCTGGAGGACTAAAATAAACGTTCAATAAAGACCGGCGACTAGTAGAGGTGGGTGCGAAACAATCTAAGCGTTCAATTAGGTCACTGAAATCGAAAATTCCGAAGAAATAACGGGCTAAGGCATGTGCTTTCTCTGCATCCGTGTAAGAGGTACGGCCGGTTTGGTCAGATTTGGACGGCAGATGACGATTTGCTTCGATTTTTTGATTTATATATTCAAAGAAGAATTTTGAATTTGCTTTTCTAGCCAGATTTAGCTCTAGATTGGATGAATATTTCTTGAAATGGTAATCAATATTTTGGCATACTTTCTTTTACATAAGATTGGATGAAAGATTTAGCATATGAATAGACAATCTTTCCATCTGCACAAAAAATTGAACTACTCCAATGCCATGGATATGGGTGTACTCGTAGATTCCAAAATGAATTTTGCCAATCGTATTGATTATGCAGTCAGCAAAGCATTTTTAGAACTATTTGCTATTTTCCGCAATGTAGATAACGATAATCCCTTGATTTTTACGACTTTATAATGCCTACGTTCTGCCTTCTTAGAATACTCTTCTGTTGTGTGGAGTCCTTTTTTAAAAAGACATACGTGAATTGGAGAAAGTTCAACAAACTTCACTCGAATACTATATATGAGGTGCCGACGGAGGTTCAATTATATTGAAATGCCCAATTATGAGAGTAGGCTCAAATTTTTGGCGATGAAAAGTTTGGAGTTAGGCGCGTATTTTTTGAATCTTGTCTTTGCCTTTCGACTTATCCACGAAAAGCTTAGAATCAATGCGAGTAAATATTGGATTTCCAGACCGACCAGTAGAAATGGTGGGTTTCACATTTAATATTCACTTATTCAAAGAAAACGTTTTCGTTTCGTGTTCAACAGTTTCCTTTATAGAATTCCACGATGGCTTTGTACACTACCGTGTAATAGGCTGCAAGCCGAGCATGTAGCTACTTTCAAACATAGAATCAGTACACTTGATTTACTACAAGTGAAATACTTTAAATTTACTACAAGT